CACTAAATAATTTCTCTTATTTCCATATATAAATAGTGAGACTTTTGAGGATTATTATTTATTTATATTTAAATAGAACCATAGATTTTCAGTATTCATTTCGTATATTTAATTATATTATATGTATACATATATATTATTAATTATATCGGGTAGGGTTTGGATCGGGGAAGACGATTCCCACCACCGCCCCCGCTCCCGCTCTGCCCTGCCCTGCTCCTGTTGCGGGTGACCCAAATATAATCCACTCCCACCTCACATAAGTGTCGGGTAAAACCCGCCTCATTCGAATGGGGTATGAATGGACCCTCACATATAGGACTAAAATGACCATCTCTAGATAAGGGCAAACAATTGAACAGATAGTCAAAAAATTTGAACAAATAGATACAAATTTGAACAGATAAAAAAAATTTAAACTGATAGATATAAATTTGAACAGATAGTCAATGGGAAGTCAACAGATAAAAAAAAAATCAACAGTTAAATTTGAAAACAAAATGTCCTCTAAAATCAATGAAATGACTTCTTACTAATATTTTTTTACAAAGGGGTGGACCTCTCACCAAACATATATATATATATATATATATATCTACTGGACCTAATGTCTTAGACCCACCTTACCTTGGCTTTTTCGACAATTCTCTCTTTTAAAAATAGGTTGTCTATATATTGTAATGTATATGTGATTATTTATATTTGATCAATCTAATTTTTTTGTATTCATATTCTCCTTATCTTGTCATATGAAATGAACGATTCGGATGGTTAATATAGGTACAAATTGATTTCACAATGCACTAATTTCACTCATAAAATGAAAATTTCCAACTTTAATAAATCTAAAAAACTTTTACCCTCAACTTGAGCACACCATGAGTTATTATTACGTAGTGGCAATTTTGTAGATGTACAAGTTTTAACATTTGGGCCATTTAGAGACACACAATGGGCCTTAAAAGATTGGGTAGGTATTGGCCCCATCTTGGAGGTTAATTACTTGGCTATGAGGGCTAGTTTTTTTAATGGGTTGGGTTTTGAACTTCAAAGAATTTGAGGGCATGAGTTCTGTTTTGATAGTTTAAATTATTTAGGTCAAGTTTGGCTATCCTAAATAAGTACACACTTTTTATCTTTTTATCTTTTTTTCATCACATCATCTCTCTATTTTTCTGCACATCTTTTCATAAAAAGATAAAAAGTGCACTTATTTAGGTCATCCCAAACAACCCCTTATTTTATAATGTCTTTTTTACATAATATCTTTGAAAAAATTTAAGTTGATACGATAATCGTAATATTTTTTTATTTTATTATGTTTGTCTTAAAAAAAAGATGACAAAATGATATACAAGCTCACTTTTTAAACCCATTTTTTAGACCTAATAATATATAAATGATATGATTGGTTGATGATTGAGAGAATATAAAAGAGATATCTTAAACTTGTATAGAAATGCCCTTTTTTTAAAAATAGATCATCCATTGTTAATGAAAATAAGATTAATTGGTATCTGAATTAAAATTCTAATAAAACTAAATATGGTATCCCAAAACTAAAAGATTTATTATATTTTCTTTAAATCTCAAGAGAATTAAGTATAATTTACATTTTTTCAAATATCTACTTACACACAAATAAACTTAAGAGTTGTTTGAGATGATCTAAATAAATATATATTTTAACTTTTTATAAAAAGATGTACAAAAAATTAAAGAGGTAATATAACCTGAGAGGGTAATTTATGAGTAAATTGGGCCGAGTTGGGTAATAGGCCGCTCCGTGGGGCGCGGTAAGAAGGGCCCAGTGAAAGGACCTTGCAGTTAGCTCGGTCCAATTGTGGTTGTGGTTACCACGGTCGGTATGGTAATATTTAGCTCGACTATGGTATTCAGAACTGAGGTATTTGAGCTTCTTGTGACGGACCTTACTCTCGTTAGATCGATCTAAGCTTACTGCGGTTAGCTCGGTCTCAACGGACCAAATCGAGGTACAAGCAATGAAGGGAAGAACCGAGCTAGTTGGAGCTCGGTCATTTCTGCCGCTTTACCATGACCATGTTAGCTCGGTCGTTTTGTCATACTACCGAGGTAAAACCATCTTACTTGGTTTAAGCAGTGAGAGGGTTGTTGAAAGATAAACATTATCTTTCAGGAGTGTGATTCCTAGGAGGACTTTACATGGAGGAATAAGAGTCCTACTACGATTGTGCCACACGGAATCTATAAAAGCTCATAACATCACTTATGGAGAGGTAACACAACTTTGACTTTCGGAATATACAGAGTTTTTGTCTATTTGTCTATTCTGCTGACTTAGGCATCGGAGAGGTATCCGGCACACACCCGCTGACTAGCTCACGTTTGTATTTTCAGGGAGTAAAACGACGACGTACGGAGGAATGCAGACTTGATCAACATGATTATACGAGAACATTATTTCGTACTCGTACATAACCTAAATAAATGCACTCCTTTAAATAAGTGTACTTATTTAATTTATGTCAAATAATACCTTATACAGAATTCTAAATAAAAAAAAAAAATGCACCTACACATAAAGTAAAGTGTATAAAAACCTACACACGTGTACATACTCTTTCTATAAGTCTCTCTTTCTCTACATACTATCTCTTTGAATTGTTTTGAAAATTAGTTTTTTTATTTTATTTTATAAAAAGACTAAAAAAGTAAAAAAATAATTGACTTTTTTTATAATAATTTTTTTTTTTTTTACTATTTCAAGTTGCCCAGTATGGGACAAGAGGGTACTGTTGTGCCCTTTGTAGAGGTTGATGTTGAGCCTTTTTTGTTGATTTAAAATGTTTATATTATAGGCTTCGTTGAGTAAATTATTTATGAAAAAGATTAAGTTAATTGAACATTTGTAACCACATAATAATATCATAGTTAAAAAAAAAATGATAAACATAATTTTGATAACAAATTATTTATTTTTAAGTCTTAATCATGTAGTTACAAATGCCTAATTAATTTAATATTTGTCATAAATAACTTACTTGACAAGTCTTATAATATAAATAATTTAAATAATTAATATAAATCCGATATCTCAATCCATAAATGTGGCACAACAGCTTGCCGTGCCATCTCCATTATCCCAGTGGATTAGGAAAAGTGTCACAAAATATAGATCTAACATCATGAATTGATGATAAACAGATCTAATCTAACATCATTAATTAGTGTGAATTATACTGGTATAAAATCATGTTAAATACATTGTAACATTGTCACATGTACTTGTGAATAGTTTCTCAAATACACTTTCATCTCTTTGAATCTAGTTCTACACATCTTCTATATAAATCTTATCTAACCCAGAGCATCAAATACACTATCAACTCTTTGAATCTAGTTCTCAACTACACATCTTCTATATAAATCTTATCTAAACCAGAGCATCTCTCTCCTGACACCAAGACTATATATTTCTTGAAAACATATATAGATTCTCTGTTTTTTTTTTTTCTGCTCAACGTTCCATTTTACAGCTAATAATTATCAGTAAAATACAAAATTCTAATTTTTTTAAGAACATCTCCAATGGTGTATCAAAGTTTTTATCAAATTAAGTAAAAGTTTTATTTGATATCGGAGGGGACATTCAGCAGTGAAAATCAAATAGCTATAAACAGTGATTTGATGAAAGGCATATTGACCTTTAGTTTGATGAAAGAAAAGTAAAATTCTGGATTTGATACCTATTTGATGAAATCGTTAAAGCAGGAAAAAAATTCAAATTTAATGATAGATTTAAGTAATTATTGGAGATAATCTAATATATTACTGAGAAATTGAGAACACAAAGACACGTTTAACCACTCAACTAGGCATCCTCATGAACAGAATCTATGTTTAAATAATAGTAAGAATTTAAAATGAAAAAAAAAAGAGGAAGAAATGTTAAAATATGAGTTGATTTTTTCTTCTTCAAATTATTACTTAAATTTATGATCTAAACACAGTCTAAATGTAATTAATCTCTTTTGTTAGTGTTATTTGGTACAACTTATTGAAAGTTAAAAGCACTTCTCACCTAGTTTCTAAAAAATAAGTGTTTTTTCTATTTAAAAAACTTATTTAAATTATTTTTGTCTCATAAAATATAACTGGAATGTGTACCAAATAGATTGGCATAAACTCTCAAAATAAAAAAAATATAAAAGATAAGACTATAAATGACTAAGATAAACTACACCAAAACAACCCTGATGTGATGTACTAAAAGTTATAATAACAATTCTATGAAATTGTAATTTAAATTATGACTCAATAATTTATTAAAATTACAACAAAATATATATTGGACTTGTTTAGTACAATTTATTATAAGTTAAAAATTGATAATAAAAAAATTGAATCTAAATACACTCCTCTGTCAATTTTTAGATAATTAAATTTTTTGTCACATTTTTTTGGGGCAAATTAAACTGGTGGTTCTTATATCTCTTATATTATTTTTGTCCCTATACTTTTAATTGACTTGATTTTGTCTATTAATTTTAGATATTACATCAATTTGGTCTAATTAATAATATCGTTAGTGTATTTTAAGAAAATTTATTATTAAGTTAGTTGAAGTTAATTTATTGAGTTTGATAAGTTTATAATTTTGCTCTTACAAATATGGTACATGACACTTATGTATATATGTCTCATAAAAACATACTAAAATTTGTGACCAACTGAACTAAATTAAGACAAAATTATAAATTTAATATTAAAATCGAACCAATTAAAACTACAGAAACTAAAATGACATAAAAATTAAAATACATAGACTACTATCATAGTTTATCATTTTTTTAAAAGTTATGTCTACCTATTAAAAATAGAACTTGTACCAATACTACCAAATATGACACATACTCCTAAAATAAAAATAAATTATAACCAACTTATATAAACAAGCTAAAAAAAACATTTATATTATGACTTTAATCACTTTGCATTGTAACTTGGACAGATGAGCGTCAACATTGCCGCTTCTTCAGTTTACATTGCTTTTTGTGCTCTTCAATACAATACACTAGTATATAAACTTTTTCAAAGCTTTTCATAGACAGTTCAATTCATTCAATTGGTTTTGTCACTTTTTCATTTTGCAACTACCCTTTTGACTTCCTACAAAAGCCACACCTCCTAAATCCATCTCTCTCTCTCTCTCTCTGAGCTACAAGCATGATCACTGGGAAGGACATTTATGATGTTCTTGCAGCAGTTGTACCACTATATGTAGCCATGGTTCTAGCCTACGGTTCAGTCCGGTGGTGGAAAATCTTCACACCTGACCAATGCTCCGGCATCAACCGCTTTGTCGCCGTCTTCGCCGTCCCCTTACTCTCCTTCCATTTCATCTCCTCCAACAACCCTTATGCCATGAACTACCACTTCATCGCCGCCGATTCTCTTCAAAAAGTTGTCATTCTCTCTGCTCTCTTCCTCTGGCAATCCTTCTCCAAGAATGGAAATCTTGAGTGGATGATCACTCTCTTCTCACTTTCCACTCTCCCAAACACTCTTGTCATGGGTATCCCCCTCCTCAAGGCCATGTATGGCGATTTCTCCGGCAATCTCATGGTCCAAATTGTTGTTTTACAAAGCGTTATTTGGTATACCCTAATGCTCTTTATGTTTGAGTATCGAGGAGCTAAGCTACTCATTAGTGAGCAGTTTCCTGAAACTGCTGGCTCTATCACCTCTTTTCGCGTTGAGTCTGACGTGATTTCCCTCAATGGGCGTGAACCACTTCAGGCTGACGCAGAGATTGGTGATGATGGTAAGCTTCATGTGGTTGTGAGGAGATCTACAACGTCGTCTGTAATCTCTTCAAATACTAAATCACATGTTTTTAACTCGATGAATTCTATGACTCCACGAGCATCTAACCTTACCGGAGTTGAGATCTACTCAGTACAATCTTCGCGAGAGCCTACCCCTAGGGCTTCGAGCTTCAACCAAACCGATTTTTATGCCATGTTTGCAAGTAAGGCAGCTAGTCCAAAACATGGGTATACCAATAGTTTTGGTGGGGATGTTTTTTCGGTGCAATCCTCGAAAGTGGCAACACCAAGAACATCAAATTTTGAAGAAGAGATGTTGAGGATGGGGAAGAAGAGAGGAGGGAGGAGTATGAGTGGGGAGTTATTTAACAACCCTAGTGGTGGTGGTGGTGGTGGTGCTAGTAATCTTCTTCAAGTTCCTTCTTACCCGCCTCCAAATCCTATGTTTTCGGGGTCTAGTAGTAATACTGTAGGAGGAGGAGGACCTAGGAGAAAAGAGGGAAGTGGTGGGGGTGTAAATGCAAATGCAAATGGAATGCCTAATAAGGAACTTCATATGTTTGTTTGGAGCTCAACTAGTGCTTCTCCCGTTTCTGAGGTGAATCTAAGACATGCAGTGAATAGAGCTGCTTCTACTGAATTTGGAGTAATTGACTCTTCTAAGTCTGTTGATATTGCTTCTTCAAAAGGTAAGACAACTAACCAATGTCCATATATATATATATATTGGGTAAATTTCGCTTTACTTACATCTAATCTCGTTTTACTCTTTGATGTTTTAGTTATTCTAGTCAATCATTTTGACTGAGTTAAGTTGCAATTGAATCTATTTGAGTAATATCATTTCGAAAATTAACAAAAACAATTACATAATGGTATTAATTACACTTAGCACTATTCATTTTAACCAAAATCCTACTTCAGTTCTTCAATGTTAGTCCTTAATACTTTTTAGTTTGACTAGAATATTACTTTCGTTTTTCTGTCAAGATAGATAATTGGGCTAAATTATAACTTAACTCAAAGTTTAAGAGGTTGACTGAGACAATTAAAAAGTTAAAGTGAGATTAGATATAAAATACAAGAATCGAAAGTCAAATTTATCCATTTCTTTTTTGACTATAGTCCATTTTGAGAAAACTAGTATGTTTGTATACCCTTTATGCCAATTTATGAGTTTATTATATATTGAATGATAAGTGATGAGACATGTAGGAATGCATGATTTGATAGAGAATGCAAGCCCTGCTGCTTCAAAATTTTATAGTGATAATAAGGAGATGGAAACAGAGAGTGGTTGTAAGTTCCAAGCAAATGGGTCTCCATTCACATGCCAGAAGAAAGTAGATGACATTGAAGAAGGAGATTTGGAAGAAAAGAAGCACCAAATGCCTCCTGCAAGTGTAATGACAAGGCTCATACTTATCATGGTATGGAGGAAACTTATTAGAAATCCCAATACCTATTCAAGTCTTTTAGGGCTTATTTGGTCCCTTGTATCCTTCAGGTACCCCTAACTCTCTCTCTCTCTCTCTCTCTCACTCTCTCTCTCATATTACATGCACCATATGCAGTTTTAGATGATTCTCATATTACATGCACCATATACAGTTTTAGATGATTCTAATAGGAAAAGTCTAGAGTATCAGAAAAGTTAGCAAAATATGAATAGAGTGATTTTTCATAAAGTGAATTTAAAATATTTTTTGGATGGTTGAGATTTAATTATACAAAAGTCAAGGGTATAATAGTACTAAGTTGAGGGTACAATAATAATATTGATAATAATTTTAAAAAAAATCTCAACCATATAACAAATTACTCTAAGATCACTTTAGGAAAAATCACTTAAAAAATTCAGATTCTAAATTTTTAATCTACTCTGTGCATTTAAATTTTGTGTTGTAGGGTCAAATTCTAAATAAATCTTAACTATTAAACAAAGTAGGAAAAATTGTAACCCTCAAGGGTTGGCCTAGTAATGTAGGTTTGGGACTTGAGAGTTTGCTCATCTCCAGGTTTTAAGTTTAAAATTTCTTAGGTGCTATCAATTTTTGTGTTGGGCCAGTCCATACACCCCCCGCTAGTGGACGGTAGAATTGGTCCCTTAGGGATTAGTCGAGGTGTGCGCAAGCTGACCCGGACACCCTGAGTTATCAAAAAAAATAAGTAAGAAAAATTGTAAATCAATGAATTACTTTTAAAATAATTATAAATTTAATTATTAAAGTTGATAAAAATATTGCACTAATTTACAATTATTTTAAGAAGATTCTATTGAATTGCTATTTTCCCATTTAAGTAAGTTTGTGAACCGTAAAATCACTTTCAAGTTCAAGGAACTTTCAAGACGGTAGCATCAACTCATTATTAAGTAATAATGACAAATAGAATGATATACGATGTGATCATTTATTTTAAGATAAAATATCAAATGCCTCGTCAAGTAATCATAAATATGAGGTGAACCATTTATTTTAAAATAAAAATATCCAAAAACATAAATTTGTTGTGCCAATACCGTCATCATCAGCACACAATCATTGCTAGTAGTCCTAGAGTTTCAATTTAGTTAATATCATTAAAGGGTATAATAGTACTAAGTTGAGGGTACAATAATAATATTGATAATCATTTTAAAAAAAATCTCAACCATATAACAAATTGCTCTAAGATCACTTTAGGAAAAATCACTTAAAAAATTCAGATTCTAAATTTTTAATCTACTCTGTGCATTTAAATTTTGTGTTGTAGGGTCAAATTCTAAATAAATCTTAACTATTAAACAAAGTAGGAAAAATTGAAACCCTCAAGGGTTGGCCTAGTAGTGTAGGCTTGGGACTTAGGAGTTTGCTCATCTCCAGGTCTCAAGTTCAAAATTTCTTAGGTGCTATCAATTTTTGTGTTGGGCCAGTCCATACATCCCCCACTAGTGGACGGTGGGATTGGTCCCTTAGGAATTAGTCGAGGTGCGCGTAAGCTGACCCGGACACCCTGAGTTATCAAAAAAAAAAAAAAGTAGGAAAAATTGTAAATCAATGAATTATTTTTAAAATAATTATAAATTTAATTATTAAAGTTGATAAAATATTGCACTAATTTACAATTATTTTAAGAAGATTCTATTGAATTGCTATTTTCCCATTTAAGTAAGTTTGTGAACCGTAAAATCACTTTCAAGTTCAAGGAACTTTCAAGACGGTAGCATCAACTCATTATTAAGTAATAATGACAAATAGAATGATATACGATGTGATCATTTATTTTAAGATAAAATATCAAATGCCTCGTCAAGTAATCATAAATATGAGGTGAACCATTTATTTTAAAATAAAAATATCCAAAAACATAAATTTGTTGTGCCAATACCGTCATCATCAGCACAAAATCATTGCTAGTAGTCCTAGAGTTTCAATTTAGTTAATATCATTTTAATTACAATACATTTACTCTTTAATTTGTGTCTAATAAGGACAATAGATGATAGCTATCTCATTTTTAAATGAAACTTATTCAAAATTTTAGAAAAAAAATTCTCCCCTTTTTCGAATAGAGTTCTGTGTAAAAATTTTAAATATTTAGTTGGTCGAAAGTCTCCTTTCTTTGTCACACCAACTACTCCCTTTGTCTAAAGTCACCCCCAACCACCACTTTTAGTTATATTCACTCCATAAGCTTTAAATCAATTTTTTGTCATCCTCTTTCTATCTAAAACTTTTTGAGTGTCTTTTATTTTTATTTTTTAAAATTTTTTCAGATTGATACAAGACAAGAGCCTCATGCATCATATTATGCAATTATATAGCTATCATAGTAATTAAAGTTTAAAATTTCTAAAAGTTGATAATTTGATTGGCAGGTACCACATCAAAATGCCATCCATAATGAGTGGATCAATATCTATTTTGTCTGATGCTGGTCTTGGAATGGCTATGTTCAGCCTCGGTATCAACTTATTCTTTATTAAATTATGATTTAATTATATTTTGCATCTCTACAATTCATCTTAGATTTTACATTGATCCCTCGTTTTTGACTCGTAATAATTAACTTTTACATTTACGATCAATTTGCAATGCCAATTTTTTAATGAATTTTTCATTATATAGGTTGACAAAAAAAAAAAAAAAATACTCACATGACATTTGTAAAGAGTGTCACGTGACTATTTTTTCTATCAGTTCGTATAAAGACAACTTACGAAAAATTACAATAAATCTTTTAAAATTATAATTTATTTAAATTTCAAAACTCAACATTTAACTCCCTTCAAATATTATCTTATTATAATTAACCTCTTTTTTGTTAGGATTATGTTAGAAATTTATAAAAAAAATTGATCATATATAAAGTATGTGACACATTTAATGATTTTTTAGGACAATAATATCCATTATTGATTGTTTTAAATAATATTATTATCTGGTAATTTCATTTACACTTGGTCTCTATAATCTTAGTGGCAAAGTGCAAACGAGATTACTAGATAAGAGCATTATTGTCCTAAAAATTTAATAAATGTGTTATGTGATTTACGCAAAATCTAACAGAATTCTAATAAAAATGATTAACTGTAATAAGATACTAATTTAAGGGGATTAACTGTAAATCTTTTAATTTAGAAAATAAAGTGTAATGAGTCATAATTTAAGAGGGTTTACTGTAATTTACCATATTAATATCGGTGGTGCTATATGCACCAATTAATGTACTAACTAGTGTACTAACACTAGTTATAATATTATTATTGACCACACTCATTAATAATATTACAAATATCAAAAACCTTTTAAATTATGTTACATCATCAATTGGTACACTAATTAGTATATTAATTGGTACATATAGTATTATTCTATTAATATTATGACTTGATTGTAAATATAGAGAATTAACAGTTGCAAATGAAAAATGAGGGGTTAATGTTGAGAGAAGTTGATTGGTTAAATATATGTATGTATTTTATTTATCGAAAATGATTTACAAGTGCACTTTTTAAATATATTTTTTAGATTCAATGATGTGCAAATTATATAATTAATTGATGATTAAAAAATATATGAGAGAGTATAACCTTTAATATTTTAATTAATTGTCATATTACTGATATTATTGAACTTGAAAATTAAATCTAACTTTTAGTCTTGATATCTTTATTTATTTATTATTGTTTGGTTGTGGAATATTAGGATTATTCATGGCACTACAACCAAAGATAATAGCATGTGGGAAGAGTGTGGCAACATTTGCAATGGCGGTGAGGTTCTTGACAGGACCCGCAGTTATTGCTGCTACCTCTATTGCTGTTGGCCTTCGAGGTGTTCTTTTACATGTTGCCATTGTTCAGGTACTTTAACTCTAATTCTTCATTTAAGATGCATTAAAGTGATTTATTATTTTAATGTAAACAATTGGATTTCAATATTAGGGGCACTTTGGAAAGATTGGTAAAAAATTAACTTTTTAGTTTTTTAACGGGAGCTTCTATATGCACACACTATATTTTCTCTTCTCACACACTTAATGAGAGAGTGTGTTGGAAAGTTGTGTGTGAAGGATGTGTATAGAGAGAAAGTGGTATGTGTAAATAGATACTCCCCTTTTTAATTTTTTTAGCAAAAAAAGTCAACTTTTTTACCCAAAACAATCTAGTTTTTTTGTCAAAAAAATCACAAAAAAAGTCAAAAAGTCAAAAAATTAACTTTTTACCAGCTTTTTAAAACACCACTTAATTGCTTCAGTCCAAATAACCGTCAATTTTTTATACGTGTGTACCTTAAGAAATTGACATGTGTCATTAAAATTTTAATTGTAGCATTCAATTAAATGGAAGGACCAAACTAAAATTGAAGTGAAAAGTGTAGGAATTAAATTGTTTGTAGTATGATTTGCTCCTCCGTTTGGGAAGTGGGTTGGCTTTTTGGCATTTTGGCTTTTTGGCTATTTTAGCCTGGGCTATTTTAGCCTGGTTTGGGAAGGGCTTTTTGGCTTTTTTGACTTTTTTGTGAAAGAGGATTGTAATGATTATGGGTTAGATTTGATGTTTTGTTTTTTGTGACTAAAATAGCCTATTTTGTTTTTTGTGGCTATTTTAGCCAAAAAAACCTGGACTTTTTCTTGCCAAACGGAGTCTAAATATTTTACCAATTTTTCCAACTTCTTATGTGACTTCTCATTAGACATGATGAGTTCCATTATTTCGTAATTGTAATAGGTCCTGCATGTATACATGGCATTTATTGAATAAATACACATAAAAACTGAAGTAAAAATGTGAAATAAATAATATTTTTTTATTCAGATTCACTCATCCTTCTCTTCTATCTACAAATGAATCTTAACATTTTTTTTTTTTTTTTTTTCAGATTGAAAATCTTAAGACCCTTATTTTAAAAGTGTCTTATGAATATTTTATTAATTTCTGTATAGCATGGTTATTATATAGTTTCGATACATTGATATCCTAACCCACATATGGACTTTTTGGTCACATCGTTTCTAATAAAATTTGAGTTTCAATTTCTCCACAGGCTGCTCTTCCCCAAGGGATAGTTCCCTTTGTATTTGCAAAAGAGTACAATGTCCACCCTGACATACTTAGCACTGGGTAAGTTTTTTCTTTCCATGTGTTCTGTTCTGAGGCCTCATTTGGGAACTCTCATTTTTAGTTAAAAAATTAAAAAGTTACTAAATAAAAAGTCAACAACCCATACCAAAAAGTCAAAAATTTTATTTTCTCTCTACTTTTTGCACTCAAAATAATCCAGTTTTTTATCCAAAAAACCATAAAAAAAAAGTCAAAAAATTAACTTTTTACTAACTTTTCAAAACACCGCTTAATTGCTTCAGTCCAAATAACCGTCAATTTTTTATACGTGTGTACCTTAAGAAATTGACATGTGTCATTAAAATTTTAATTGTAACATTCAATTAAATGGAAGGACCAAACTAAAATTAAAGTGAAAAGTGTAGGAATTAAATTGTTTGAAGTGTGATTTGCTCCTAAATATTTTACCAATACTTCCAACTTCTTATGTGACTTCTCATTAGACATGATGAGTTCCATTATTTCGTAATTGTAATAGGTCCTGCATGTATACATGGCATTTATTGAATAAATACACATAAAAACTGAAGTAAAAATGTGAAATGAATAATATTTTTTTATTCAGATTCACTCATCCTTCTCTTCTATCTACAAATGAATCTTAACATTTTTTTTTTTTTGTCAGATTGAAAATCTTAAGACCCTTATTTTAAAAGTGTTTTATGAATATTTTATTAATTTCTGTATAGGATGGTTATTATATAGTTTCGATACATTGATATCCTAACCCACATATGGACTTTTTGGTCACATCGTTTCTAATAAAATTTGAGTTTCAATTTCTCCACAGGCTGCTCTTCCCCAAGGGATAGTTCCCTTTGTATTTGCAAAAGAGTACAATGTCCACCCTGACATACTTAGCACTGGGTAAGTTTTTTCTTTCCATGTGTTCTGTTCCGAGGCCTCGTTTGGGAACCTTCTCTTTTAATTAAAAGGTTAAAAAGTTACTAAAAATAAAAAGCCAACAACTCATATTAAAAAGTTAAAAATTCTTTTTTTTCTCTACTTTTTACACATCTTTTCATAAAAAGTCAAAAAGTCATCCCAAATATACTAATTTTTTTTAGCTCATATTTTAGCCAAATAGCTAAAAAGTTACTAAATTAACTTGTTCCCAAACGAGGCTATCACTCAATTGGATACCCAAAAATTATGACAAAGAAAAGAATTTTTATGAAAAATCCTTTTTATAATCCAAGATATGATCCTTTCAACAGGAAATCACTAGAATAATATGACAATAATGTTTTTGAAAGAGTAAGGTTCATGGACTGGACAGTGTAGTTTGCTTTCTGTGGGCACATCTTGGACAAATTTTGATAATCCAAACAATTAAGTTTGTAGTGTCCATTGAATTAGATCATTCATAAAAAATCAAGTTGATCATACATCAATATCCACATATCAGATCACAAAATCATGCAAAAAAACAATAAATAGACAATTTACTTATACTTTCCATCTATTTTTTCATGGTTTTGTACATTGATTGTGTGACTATCAATATCCGATCAACAAGATTTTTTGCTTAGACAATCTACTCAATGGATTCTACAAACTAGATGATTTAAATTATCAAGTTGAGCCCATGACAAGCCCACAAAAGGCAAACTGCACTGTCGAGTCCATTTGAATAGATTGGAAAGAAGCTTGCTACTGTTTGAAATAATGAAATATTTTGATGATTCTTTACCTACATACTTGATGGATATAAATTTGTCACATCATTTTGTACAACTTCTCTGTTTGTATATGATTAATCAAAAGAAAAATATAAAGTATAAATTGTGAGTTGAGAATTGAAATTTGAAATTTTTGCAGGGTTATTTTTGGGATGCTGATTGCTTTGCCAATAACAATACTTTACTATGTGCTTCTTGGTCTCTAATATATAGCTCTGGCAACAAAGGGGGACAAATATATATATATATATATATATATATAAAACTGCAAATCCAAGACAGGCTTATGTGGATGGATCACACAGATGAGCCAACTGGGATTAAATAAGAGCCATTGGATTCAGTGCACAACTTGGAAGCCACATGATCCCCCCATGTTACTGATGTTGGTTTTCCTTCCTTCTAGTTTTATTTAGTTCTTTCTTTGCTATCTTTATTTTTTTTTAATATAATTTTTAGTATTTTATTAGTTTTAGTTAGGCAGAGAAAGATATAGAGCGAGCCCTTCTCAAGAAAAGGGAACATATAATTATTGATGTGTTTGGTACTTGTTTTACACTAACATCAATGTAGTTATTGACTTACCATTTCACACTTCCTTCACTCTAGCTAGTTACTTATAGTTTTATACCAGATGGCTAAAAAAAATAATAATAATAATTTAAATTTTTTTATAAAAAAAAAAGCAAGAAAGAACTACTTATTTTTAATTAGCCCGTTAAAATTGTTTTAAAATTTGTTTAAGAAAAATGTTTTATTAATGAGACAAGAGAGTATGCACACGATCCAAACAAGATAATATAGTAGAGAACTAACTCAAAGTGAGATAGAAAGTCAGTTTGTAAGTAAGGAGCATCCCAATTATGTTGACACTCTTGATAAAGTAGTGGAGCATACTCATTTGAAAATTTTAAGTAATAAAACTCTAGGAGAATGTTATGGTATTTATAATTGCCCCATAATTTTTGAAAAAATAAGTCACTTTAATACTTTTTTAATTTGAAATGAAGGAAAACAAATTTATGGAATCATTCTTTATCATTTTTTTATTTACATATCAGTACCGTTTAAAATTAATTTCTGATTATAATGCTGGAGATCTTTCAACTATTTGTTAACTCACTCGTCTCTTTTGGTTATGCATGTGAAAGTAGATGAGAAATTTTATTTTATATTATTTTTCCTACTTTAAATGACAAATTGGGACCAAAAAAAAAAACTTACAATATTTCTGTCATTTTCAAATTTTCTATTTGATATTTTTTTATTGGTCATAAACTTGTTTTTACTTTCCATCACATGCAAAGTCAAAGGATGAGTGTTGAGTTCTAGACACTAAAATAGGCATTAATTTGGATTATATTGTAACTAATGTTTTAAAAAAATTTAAAATTAAATTTGAAAAATCATGTGAATGAATGATTTTAAAAATGGGGATCACATTATGTTGGAAGGAGAGAGAAGGGTAGCTTCAATGTATCCTTCCAAAACTTACCTTTTAAATTAATGCATTCCCATCTATAAATAAAAAAAAGAAATATGCTTGGAATCTCCACCATTGATATAGGTACGAGACTTACTCATGTATATGTGAGACCCACACTATCAATGATTGAAATTCAAATAAAATATTAATTATCACGTCATCACCTATAATTTATTTTTTAATATAAATATAATCTGACATCATCTAATTATTGATGTGTGTCAAAATAAAAGGACCATAATATCCAATGTAGATATGGATGGACAGGCCAAAAATATTGAATATTGGGCAAATTATATCGATGATCTATATATTTTTATTATTGTGTTATTTTAGTCTTTATAATTTTAATTGACTCAGTTTCGATCCTAAATTTATGATTTTGTCTCGATTCAATTCAATTGATTACAATTGTTACTTTTTTGGATAAATTACAAATATACTCCTGAGATTTACTTAAAGTACAGATTGTACCTTGTGATTTGAAAAATTGCAAATATCTCCTTATTACAATTTTTTATTTAACAGAATTAACTAAAAAAATAAAATTCATAATTACTGTCCTATACAATAATAAAATTATCTAAATTATTAATTGAAACATATTTCTAACATCATTAAAAGCTGTTAATTGACTTAATAATTTATTAACAAAAGAGAAGATTTGTTATGAAATTAGAAATTTCAGAAGGTGGAATGTAATTTTCAAAATCACCGGGAGTGATTCGTATTTTAATTAAATCTCACGGGATGTATTTGTAATTTATCCTAATTTTTATATAAACGACACGTGTTATGCTTTTATAAACAAAATTATAAACTTATTTAACTCAGTGATTATTTTTCTTTCAAAAACCTTAATCAACATTGGCCCTACTTGGTACAGTTTTTTTCAGCTTTCAGCTTAATTTAAGCTATTTTGATGCGTTTGATTTAGCTTAACAATGCAACTTATAATTTTTTGTAAGTCAAAAATCAGTTTATTCTTTGAGTGTGGCAGGATAAGCTTAATTTATAAGTCAGAAATCAACTTATGTTCATAGTTATAAGTTATAAGCTGTTAAGGCATAAGCTATAAGTACTTTCCCACAACTTTATCAAACAGGGTCATTGTCAATTGGCTAATTGACACAAAAGAGTTATAATCAAATTAATTAAAATTATAGAAATCAAAATAACATAAAAGATAAAATGTAAAAACTACCAATGTATAATCTATCCTTGAATATTCCATAAATAAAATATAAGGAAAAGAGGTGGAATGTGGATAGCCGTGGGAACAAGTTAACGACAATGCATGTGTCATCTTCCTTGCAATGCAATCTAATAATCTAATTAGTGTGAACCCTACGGCCCACCGGCACTGTGTGAATAACCACCCAATTCAATAAAATATTACTTTTTCTTCTAATTTAAAAAAAAAAAAAAATCCAATGTAATTGAAAGATGATTTCATATGTTTAGTTACGTTCTTAAAATTAATATATTAATAGTTATAACAGTGATGGTAGTGTGACAGCAAGGTTGATGGTTACAATGGTGCGGTGGTGGTGGAAAAACTTTAGTTGGAAAAACGTTTTTATTTTTTAAAAATAAAAAGCATTTTCTACCTGGATGTAAGCGTTTTTGTTAATTTTTATTTTTTTATTGTACCAAATACCGAAACAAATATGGAAGGAGATCTGCCAAAACAGTTTTCCATCCATTTTTGCTTTTCAAAAGATATTTTTAATCAAAACAAAAAAAAAAATTTAATTTGAAATAAATATCTCACAGCCTCACGTGGCCAGCCAAAGACTGTTTTTCTCTTTCAAGTTTAGATATGATGTGCCTGCATGAGGTGCACATGTAGATCTTCTGAAGAGAGAGTTCAAAGTCATGGAGTAAACAAATGGAGTTTTGAAGAATTTCTGTAAACTCAATAGCAAACACACCCTCCATGCAAGGACAGCAAACACCTCTGGTCTTGTCTTTCCATTAATTATATTATTTATTTATTATTTCTTCATCAGTTCCAACTTCCAAGGTCCATATATGTGGTGTTTTAGAAAATTAGTAGAAAGTGGATTTTTTAATTTTTTTTTTAATGATTTTTTGGCTTTTTTGGTGTAAAAAAAATAGATGGGTGATGTGACTCAAAAAAGTCAAAATGCCAAAAAAAGAGCTTTTTTGGTACTTGCCAAAATGCCACTATGTATATACTATAATTTTTGTAATGACAATGACAATACTATAACAACATTTGTCATTGGAGCTGTTCTAACTAGTAAAACTCTTAAGCATAGTTTGGGAAGTTGGTTTTCATGGGTTAGGGGTTAAAATAGTCACAAAAAATAAAATAGACTATTTTAGCCACAAAAAACAAAACATCAAATCTAACCCATAATCATTACACTCTTCTCTCACAAAAAAAGTCAAAAAAGTCAAAAAGCCAAAAAGTCCTTCCCAAATCAGGCTTTTTAGACCCAGGCTAAAATAGCCAAAAAGTCAAAAAACCTACTCACTTCCCAAACGGAGGCTAACTCATGAAAATTTGGTGCATGTTATTTGTAATAATTGGTCCATTTCTTGTTTGTAATTTTATCTGACACGAGAAGAAGGTAATAGATTCCTTTCAACAACTCTTTTCTCTCATATCTTTCCCATATTTACCATTTTTTTTTTTTTTATAATATGCCTACAAGGGTTGTTTGGAATGACCTAAATAAATATATTTTTTTTCTTTTTACGAAACGATGTGCAGAAAAATAGAGAAGTGATATGATAAAAAAAAAGATAAAAAGATAGATTATATTGGAGTTGCCAAACTTAGCCTGAATTTCAAAACTTAATCGCTAACCATCGGAGAGGATTATTTTGTTACACTTAATAATTTTTAACGGAGAGGATTATTTTGTTACACTTAATAATTTTTGTTAAGATTTTGTTAAGGATTTAAACGGAATTAGGTCATGTATATAGCATGTGACATAGTTACTAAATTTTTAGGGCAATACCTTTATCCGGTGATCTCATGTGTACGTTACCTCTCTTTTCTTATTAAAAAGTGAAAACAAAATTACCAAATAAGAAAATTATTATTTTACAGTTTCAAAAAGTATTTTACATGCACATGACCTGATTTTATATAAATCCCTAATAGAATCTTAACAGAAGGGATTAAGTGTAACCAAGATAACATTTTAAGGTGATTAACGATCGAATTTAGAGTTTGAGGGCATAGTGCAAATGGTTATAGTTTAAGGCAAGGGCGGACCCAGGATTTGTTGATGAGGTAGGTTAATATTAAGGTAAACTTATCAATATATTTTAAGTATAACCACATAAGAAAAAAGAGGATTTAATAATATAATCTAGATTAATATCTAAATTTATTGATTAGAAACAATTTAACTAGGTTGTGCTCGATGAGTCTTTAAAGATTCAAATTCATCGATCACAGAATTTAGATCAATTTTCAAAAAGCATGAAAAACAATATGCTCTATCCTTTGAAGGAAAATACTCTAGCCAATAAAATTGTTTAAACCAAATATGTTGAAATCGGCAATTCTACTTTCCAAATGAGGACCTAGGTTACGTTGATAAGGCTCCAAGTTCACATAAGCTCGTCTAACCTCATCCCGTTGATTAACTGGATATTCACAGATTTGCAAGCGTAAATCAGGATCCCGTTCAATAACAGTTGAATCAAATTCGCTTGGTTTATTTGCTTGAGGCATGGAAGGAGGTTGCACATCAGAAAATGAGATTTCAACAACATTGTATGTTGTACTACTAGACTTCTGTTTTGATTGATAGAATGAGAAAAGGGTTTTGCCTTTTTTGAATGTAGAGGTTCCATTATTTATAACCTAAAAAAAAAAAATTTAAAAAAATTAGTTCTATTTAATATTAAATCAGAGTATATTCGCAATAATTTTAAATATTAGGGTTTTATATATATCCTCAATAATTTTTATTTAAGCTTTCATTATTTTTATATATGTCCAAAAAAACTCCTTCAAAGTTCAAAAACTAAAAGCAATATAGAACATTGAACAAGGTAGCATCATAAAAAAAAAAACTAAGAGCAATATAATGTTTGTTGCATAAAGACAAAATTTCAAAACCATTGTTAGTCAAATCCATTCTCAACCAACGAAATAAAATAATTGGTTAATTACACTTACCAAAAATGTTAAGAAAGTGGAGCTGTTGCAGGCTGCTGGAGACGACGGAGAGGGCCGCTACCTATCTATTGGAAGATGTGAGAATTGTTTTTGGAAGATTTGTTCTTTAAACAAATACAAACCTATTGGGCTGCCTATCTATTTTTTTGGGTAAGTATTGGGATGTTATTGGGCTGCCTATCTAAAAAACAAACAAAAAAACAATTGGCCCTTATTTGGGGCGGGGCGGATTGGGCTGGGCAGAACAAAAAATTTCTACAGATTTTTTAAATTTTGGACTGGGCTGCAGCCATCTATGCCCAGCCCTAGGTCTGCCCTTGGTTTAAGGAGATATACCATAATTTGTGTTGAATATCCACACGATGTGAATTTGGCTTTGAAAGTCAAGAATAGAGGCTTTGGGCTACAGATTTTTGGAGACATTCAGCCGATCTATCCCCTTGTAGGGTGGCTGTATTGATGGCTTACCATTTATTTTTTGGTTCATTGGTTGCTAGTAGGCAAGTTCTCCCGTTTGTGTATAAATAGGGAGAGATGTGAGCTAAATTGACAAAGAGATCAAGTATGAAGAAAAGAGCGAGTTGTGAAAAGTGTATGATCTGTGAGTTGAGTTGATAGAACGCGATTCTTCCTCCTCTGTTTTGTATTTGTTTTTGTTCATAGTGAAGCTTTCTCTCTTTCTCCCGTAGATATAGACATTGGACTGAACCATGTAACTATTTGCGTTTCATTTGTATGTATAATTACTTGTTGATCATTTTTTGAGTGTCTTTAATCCTATCAATTTGACTCCTGCAAATGTGGGTTATCTTTCTCTTGCTTTGTTTACTAACAAGTGTTGTCTAACCTTTGTAGTTTGTAGGACTAAAATGTCTTAATCGCTGATGACGAAAATTTACCAAACTGGCAGAAAATTTTGATCCACACGGTGACCGAGTGCCGTACAGGCAATGAGCAAAAATCTAGTGGTGCACTTATTCAAATCTCAAGCACTTTAGATTTGATTTGATTAGAAAGAAAATTTGATAAAAAATAAAAGTAAAAGAAAATAAAATGAAAGAAAAAAGATAAAAAAGAAAATGTATTTTCTTAAAAGCATTTGATTAAGATGAAAAAACAAAAAAAAAGAAGAAAAAATTAAAAATTTAATTATAGATAACTCACACATTCAATTTTTCTCGTGTTTTCTTCTCTTTTTTTTCGGAAGAAATAAAAAAAAAAATTAGTTAGAATGTCAATATAAACTCATAGAAGTTGTACAAGAAAATCAGTTTTTATTTTTTATTTTTTATACTTTCCACCATTTTCAAACTAAATAAACTCATAGAAGTTAATTTTTTTCTCTTTCTTTCATCTTTTACCTATTTCCTCCTAAACAAATTGAGCCTTATAGTTACCCGGTAAGGGTGTTCGGCCAGAGGGCACTCCAATACTTTAGTCAACAAGTGACGAGTAAAGATAGGAATGTAGCAAAATGACAGCTTTGAGTACGTATGACTGCGAACAGAAACCCTTTGGGTGATGTCTTTATATTGACTAGTAGGAAAGCATTCCCTTTCCTAGTTGGTCAAAGTTGCCCCATTAGATAACCTTCCAATAATATTGTAACGCCTCAATTTTTTTCAAAAAAAAGTTGGGCAGTGCAGGCCCAAACAAGAGGTCATCTGCTGAACTTGAATCGATCACAAGTTTAGGCCACAAAAAATGTTATACTAGAGTTCTGATTTGGTAGAAGGGGCATGCACAAGTGATTTGGGTGATCGATGGATCCAACCCACAGAAGGGGGGTTGCTCCCATTGCCGGAAAGGCCTACAAGAAGATTGGGGAGCAATTGACGAAAGATAAACTGAGGAAGGTCCTACCTCGAGTGTTCTTGAGCATCAAAACTCCTTACAGGATAATCTTGACCAAGAATTGTCATAAATAGATTTACGATGAAGCTTACTGTTGGTGACAGAGTACATCAATTTAATGTGACATTATTTGATGCAACAAAAAAACTTACTGAATAAGAATTCAAATTTACATATGACTATAAGCAAACATGATAGGAGAGAAATAAATTTGAATTAATGTTCTTTTTGTGTTCATTTTGCTATTGTTGGACAGTGTAAACAACTATAAACAATTGATTAAAAGTAACAGTGAGTGCTAGACATGTTTTACAAGGATCAATATGATGAATGTGAAAGTTCATAGTAAAATAAGTTTACAAGGACCAAAATTTTGGTGACATTAATGAAAATTCAAAAGCCTTCCTTTCCCAGTAAGGTAACATTTAAAGCGGCTTTGAAAGGGAAAAAAATAAAAAGGTAAACATTTCCAGATCATATAATTGTATAGACAATGTACACTCTAAGAGTGACCTTCATGACAGATTTAGAATGATACGCACACAAGCCATTTGGAACAGCTTGTCCCACAAAGATATGATTACATTGCTCCAACAACGGTAATCAAGACATTCACAGGTTAGTAGTCAGACTTAATGACACCAACAAGAATTCTATTCTCAAAATACTAAGGGCCAAAAATTCTAAATCAGAAATAAAATAAAATAAAACAACCACGTTAGTGGAAACTTCTATCATGTATAAAGGTTTACCTTCCCGCAGTCGAACCTAGTATTAGACACATTCCTCGCCATTATTTCCCTCATAAGTGTCCCCGTTTTCTTTGCTGAGCTTAGATTTTGGTAATGAGTACGGAGCTTGTCTTGAAGTTGCTTTCGCCAATTGCTGCTTGGGAAGTAAATTAAGGTAAGTGTAGAAAGACATACCAACAAGAGCCGTCAGTGCTCCACAGATGCTAGTTGTGCCTGGATTGGAGCCGAATAGAATGAAGCCTCCGAGAAGAATGGCACAAGTTTTGAACTGGCCAAGAACAACATGGGTGGTTGCAGAAGTTGCCCTGCATCCAAATTTTATGGTTATACATCAAACTACTATCTTCACATTCTAAAAACTAATTCATAAAACACAAAAAGTGCATTTTGTGACTGAGATTTATTTTTAACTGACTCACACTACACCTAAATTGAATTTTAATAACACAATACACTTTTTGTATACTTTTCTGTGTTCTATTCGTGCACTAAAAATCATTGAATTACTTAAAAAAATAAGCAAAAAACTCTTGTGCAAGAGCGGGGTGCATTCAAGAGTGATATTTTAAGTGCCACTCACATGACACCTAAATTGAATTTAATAACACAATAAACTTTTTGTATACTTTTCTGTGTTTTATTTTTGTGCACTTAAAATCATTGAATTACTAAAAACAGTAAGCAATAAACTCTTATGCAAGAGTGGGTGCATTCGAGAAGTGAACAACCGTGTTGGGAAGAACATGAGCATATGGATGAGGAATTTGGTAAATCCCAAATTATGCATGCTGAATTTCAGGTCGATTGCAGATCAAGAGGTCCCTCATCTACACAGTTCTCCAAATTGGACAGATATTATAGTAAAAACATTGGCATATAGAGGAGATAATTCATGATCTCCGGTAGTCATGAAATTCGGTATGCAAGATTTGCATAGGAGGAATATGTAATTTCATGGTCAGTTTTTGAAATATAGACATGACGACAAGTTTTGAAAGGGTGTAAGACTAAAATGTTTCACATTATAAGTTGATCCCTACGCTACTAGTAAAATCACCTTAAATCAAACTAATATTTAGATGTTATATGATGTATTTAAACAGAAATCATACAAAAAGATTGACAACAATGGTGCTTCTCCATTTCAATGTAGCTCAAAATTGACAACAATATGGGGACTTGTGAAGAAACTATCGAAGTTGGTTTCACTAAACTTTTCATGTCTAGGCTTTACCAATTCTAATAACAATTTTTTTTTCCCCATCCAAATGAATAATATACCTAAAGCCTACAAGGCCAACACCAAAATAGAACACTCAATACAAGACATAATGAACCAATTTCCACTGATTATTATTAGTATTTTTTATTGTTTTCAGTAAATAAGGCAGCCAGTATATAAGAAACTCCATGGAAAAACTCACTTAGTATAACATATTAATTCAATAGTCTTATCCCAATTCTCTAACCCTACAACTTGCGAAAGCAAATTTAGAAAAGGTGACCAAGTTAAGAGCATTGGAGATTAGCAGTTTTGGGATTTCGACAGTCATGATGAAATAGGTAAAATAAGAACAGATATCACTCACCCTAGAGCTAGAGCACCTGACCACTGAAGCAAAAAGCCAAGGAAAGCAGACATGGCAATAATTCCCGAGTTATAGAGGCTCCAATTATAGGTAATGACACCATAAATGACATCCGGAGGATCAAGCCACGGCATCAAAATCACTAGAAAGAACAAAGTGATTGGTGTTGTCTTCCACATTAACCTACACATTAGTTACAGATCTTAGCTAAAAGACACCTGCATAAATGGCTATAGTAGTAAATGAAGATCAAGAACCATTAAACACTAAGTATGCAAAACATACGCCAAGGCAGTCCAGTTCTGCTGTTGTTGAAGATTGGACCACATTATCTTATTGACAGCACTGGGTATTATCCATGCTACTGCTATACAAGCACCAAAGAAATGGAACTGCAGATCAGTTACGGTAGCAACAGCAACACCAATGGATACCACAGTAAGTGCTAGCACCTGAAAAACAAAAGTGACAACATTTCAATATTAAGTGCACCAGTTGATACAAGAGTAAGTACAAAAATGGAAACCCAAACAGAGAATAAGAAATATGGCAAGTGAGGAAACAACATATTTTTGTTATCAGATGGAGGAAATATTTAAAATCAAACATTCAACTGCTCAAGGAGTGGGATGATTGGTGTATTGCGCTTTCTTTTACAACCAGTAGGAGGGGAAGAGGGGAAGTGGAAGCTGCATTGCGCAGCAGAAGACACGAGTCTGGGCATCACACCCAGCAAGAGAAATGCCTCAACCACTAAGCCAACCCTTGGTCTCAGTGTATTATGCGTACAAATCTAGTATATTTGTAACACCAGTATACTGCAGATCTGGTAATAAAAATATAAAATCAGAGTGCTCAGAGTTCTTGAAAGGTACTCCACATCTTGTGTTAGTTTGCTTCTCATAAGATCAAGACCAAAAATAATGACAATTTAAAAATAAAAATAGAAGAAATATGATGAATAGGTGGTTTCATAAATCAAATTGTATGAATTCACTCTGAAAGTGGAAGTTTTTTGGAAAGTACCTCAATGTATTCAAATTAAAGGTCACAAAAATGACGGTTTTCAGCGAAGGATTTAAGTAGGACCCATTAATGCACAAACAAGGTAAACAGTGAGAATTGAGAACACCTATGGAAAGTAGACAGATAACAACTCAAGGTCAACCAAGAAACCTAGAAAGTATAAACCAACTTCCCAATTTCGAGTCTCTGGCAAGTAGTTATTCTATGCATCAAATTGTTATGCACCCTTACTTCTATTCTCAACCTCATTTCTATGTGACAAATATGTATATCCAAGTAACAGAAATACAAACACATAAATAGGAGTTAGACACAAAGAAAGAAGCAGCATTACATGTCGATGTATTTACATGTATAAATATCTTATACAAGACAGATATGACTTGGTAAATTACTAAGTATCTACTTCATAATTCAAAAAAGAAAGGTCTAAATACTTTTTTCCACAAGGCGTAGAACATTTCACTCTAGAAAAGAAAGCTTGCTCTCATCAAAGGTAAGAATGACATTTTTAGGGTAAGTTATCGAACTTCTCACTTGAACCTTAGCTGTTTTTTTCCTTGGTCATTTACTTGCTTTTTTTTCCCATGGAATATAGTTACAAAAGGGGATAATTTTTTTTTTTAATTTTTATTTAAACCATGTATTAAACTAAATTTAATAATAGCCCAAGACAAGCTTTTCATATATGCATTCATATGTTTATGTGCAGAAGGCATACAAGGTGCACTTGATGCACATGCCTCAAACTATAATGCGCAAACCTTTCAGGAGTGTCACCTAAAAATTAAAGTCTCGATGTGCTTTGTATTAGCCTCAATAAGGCCTATTAACACTTTGGATCATAGTAAGCCATCCATCTCTGACTTTGTTGTGTCATGTTATCGCCATATTGGCCTCATTGATTGTTTAAATAAGACAAAAGTGCAAGTATAACAAAGCATGATGTTAGTAACTAAGCACAAAAGGTCATCTCGGATACTAGTAATCCCAAATTGTTCCCATCTGATCAATGGATGTGATTTAGAAAATTTGTTTATTTATTGTAAAAATGCATTAAAAAAATCAAATAGCTGAGAGCCAGAAAATAATCCTCGCAAAGTTATAGGCTACAGCAAACTATTAGATTGAACCCATTAGATGTTCCATCAATATGTCTCATCCTTACGACACTCTGAACGAATAGTTGATGTGGAATCAAGGAATGCTTATTTACACATCCATACAACTAGATACATAAATAAAGCATTCAATATTGAAAAACTGTATGAGAACCACTTCCCAGTAAATGTCGAAGTTACTTGTGCTAAATAATAACATTACCTTCTGGAAAGAAACTCTTTTTCGAAACAGAATTAATTCAGCTAAAACAATTGTCGGTGTTACAGCAATCTTAGCCATCTGATAAAAACCAACACTGAGAAATGTAGATAATCAAAATTTGACACAAAATCAGATGAAAACAACTAAGCATAGTGAAGAGGGATGCCGTGTCTCACCTATTATACTTTAAGCTAACATTAGCAAGGCCAGTAGAGAGGGACATAACTATACCAAGAGAAAATAATGAAGAATACTTTGTTGACTTTGACGGAGGAGATACAGAAAGGATAGAGAGAGCTTTTAGAATAGCCATCAATAACCAGCTACATATGTAGTGAATAAAAGTGAGGAAAATAGGGTAGTTGAACCCGACTTTGCCAAGCACCTGGACAAAAAATAAAAATAGTTAGTTAACATTTATAAAACTGTTAATTATTTAGTGTCAGATAAAAGGGAAGAAAAAGTAACTGCACTAACCAATTTGTTCATCAAAATAATGCTAACGGAAACCAAAAAGTTGAACGTAAGAGCAGCAGTGGGTCCCAGTTGTTGCTGCTTTGAACTTCCAAACAAACGCAATTTGCCAAACAAAGAAGCTCGCAGTTCCTCCAGTGCTCTTCCTAAATTAACAAGGAAGATGAAGAAAGATCGTCAGAGCACGGAAAGGAAGCAATGCACATTTTTTATTTTATTGTATTTTATTTGGGATGAAAAGGAGATATTGGCAGGAAAAGGATGACCTGACTTCAACCAAAGTTCTAAAGGGCACAAGTCAATAATCCAATAGTCCAAAATTCAATTCATTACTAATACTACAAAGGAAAGACACTCATTGAAACCATCCAAGCAACAAAAGTCTAACTTAATAATTCATAACTTTGTGTGCGTGAGTTCAAACCAGCGTAAGAAAAGAAAAAACGTTTATAGTTAAACAGAGGGATGGACAGGGGGACTGGTATAAGCGATTGCCACCCCAAAGTTTTAAAAAAACCTTGATAAATTTAATACCTGCCCCCTTCAGATTTTTTCTAAAAATTTTAAATCACTTGACCTTTTATTTTATGATAACATTCAGCTAGACACTTTAGACTTTTCCATATTGCAGAAAAAATAAAGCACAATTCCACTCAAATAAATAATTTCCCATTAGCCATTTCCCGTAAATATGAAGGCAACATCTGCTAGAAAAATATTTGGTTGTTCATTCCCCTTCTTTGAAAGGTAATTTTTGTATACTTTTTTCTAATAGTTGTAAGCCAAAACGCATGGTTAGCCATGTGGGGAAAAAATAAAAAATTCAATTTCCATTTGCGTTTTTCTCCCACTTTCTTATTCTTCTTTGTTTCGATTTTACCTCTTCTCTTCTTGTTCTTTTGTTTCAGTTTTTCTGTTTTTGTTGTTTTGATTCTCTTCAATTCAATCTCCATTTTTAGTTTCTTCTTCCTGTTCTACACATCTATTTCAAAACTTCTTTTGCTTCAATTCTTCCTCTTTTCTAATTTCTCTGTTTTGGTTCTCTCTTTTTTCTTCTTATTCTTTTGTTTGGGCTCTTCTTCTTCTTCATATTTGCAAGAATAAAACCAGTTAAGGAGAATCTGATGAAATTATTTGTTCTTAGTTCGAATTCAGATCCTAGGGACGGTTATAGGTTTTTCAAAATTAAAAATATTTGCAATATTTGGTAGTTCATTCTCTTTCTTTGGAAGGTAATTTTTGTACCCTTTTTGCCCATAGTTGTGGCCCAAAACATAAGGTCAACCATGTGGAGAAAATCAACTTCCACATGCATTGTGCTCTTTCTTATTCTTCTTCTTTGTTCCGATTCTCTCTTCAATTCAATCTCAGTTTTTTCTTCCTTGTCTCCATATCTATTTCAAAACTTTCTTTTGCTTCAATTCTTCTTCAAAAATTGAACCAGTTTAACGAGAATATGATGGAGTTAGTTCTTATTAGCTCTGAATCAGATCCTAAGGATGGCTATAGGTTTTTCAAAGTAAAAATATTTGCAAACTTGTAATAAATTTTATCCCAATGACTTCATATAGCAAGAAAAATTGCATTTGAAATTTCAATTACAAAACTATAAAATTGATATCCTTGAACATCCTGAGTTCTAAAAATTGTCAACAATTTCTGAGTTGTGCCAAGTGTTGGTGAAAATAGGATGGAAGATGATTTCTAATTTATCTAGTCACATATCCTATTGTATTTTGATTATATTTCTGTGATCATATATGTTGACAAAAAGCATCTAGTGCTATAGTTTTGTGATATTTTTCACATTTTGCATTGATAGAAATTGACATTGCATCTCACACGGTCACTAATTTTTTTTTCTTATATCTATGTTTCCCCCCAAGGTTAGAATACTACGTCCATCCTGGCTAAATAGGGCCGCTCATTTTATAACGGTTCCGGTTCAGACCCAACCCTTTTCATGCTCTTGGATCCGGAATTCCATACCTTTTGACTGTTGTTTATAACCTCTTACTCTCACTGCTAGCGGTATTTGGTTGTTTAAGAGTTATTGTTGTGTTTGAAATAGATTAGGAGTTATTTTTTTAAAGGAGTTGCCGTCTGATTTTCTTCTTGTTCACTTGAGCGGTGTTTTGGCCACTAGAACAGTTTTTGAAATCTTTCAGTATTTTTTTACAGGTATGCAAAACTTCTAGAAGTGGGGTATCTTCGCTCAAGCGGTATTTCTTGTGTTCGAACGGACTTTTGCATGTCTGAACTTCTGAGAGGGGGTCATTGTGTGCTCGAGAGTGTTTTGGTCACTCGAGCAATCTGTGCGTATATCAAATCGGGAAAAGGGAAATTTTATCACTTTTTCACTTCCTCTCTCTCTAAAAACATTCCAAACCCTAACTTCTTCACACTCTCTCTCTCTCTAGTTATTGCCTTAAAACTCCAAATACTCCCAATCCATTAATTTCTCCACCCTAGTTCCTCGGAAAAAAAGGTAGAACTAGTAGAAAGCTTCGTTTTAATTAGAGAGCATATCGTTTTTGACTCCACCAAACTTCAACCCTTGCTTTCTTCTTCTTCTAATCTTGAGGTAGGAATTTTTTCAACCTTTGCTCATTGAAAGGATTTAGTGATTTGGGAAATTTTGGGTTAAACCTAGAGTTTGATTTTGAAATGTAAAAAAAGGGTTTTCAAATGGGTGCTTGAGAAAAGTTGTGGGGATGTGTTTATGGTTCAGATATGTTGAAATGTGGAATTTCTTTACTTAAATGTGATTTTGAAAGTACATGAGGTTTTGTGTAAAAATCATTGCTATTTTGTTTATAAAAGAAAAGGGAAAAGATATTGGGTTTTGAAAGAATGAAATGAATGTATCTGTTGATGATGAGGGTGGAGTTGGACATGTGATATCGCTCCATTTTGAAAAAGATGAGATTATATCGTGTTAAAAATTATCTGTTGAATAGAAATATTTGTTTTGAGCTATCGGTAAAGGATAGCTTTGATTGTTGTAGAAATTGCATGAAAATTAAGTGAATTCAAACTAATTACTTATACATCTTGCATTGAGCATTGTTTCATACTTAAGCATTGAAAATGTATTGTTTTGAGAAAAATGATGAATACCTTGGTAAATCTGATTAGGGGGTGTGGTTGTGGTTATTATGTTGGCATGTGTGTCCTTGATGAAAGTCTAGAAACCTGTGCGGTTAAATGCCGATCCTTATGGTTAGTACCGTTAAATGATTTTGGTAGTGCTTGTGTAGCCTACTGGCAGACACGTATCTAGAGATTCTCAGTGTTTTGTATCCACTGCCCTATTGTCTAATATAAATGAATAGTTTTTTCATGAATTGATATATAATCATGGCATTGCATTGTTTTGAGATGGAAATGTAACACATTGACAAACTGTATGCATATGCATTCACCTTATGACTTCGCTAAGGTTTATGCATTGTGTTAAAGTATGTCTACTAGGCTTTAGCTCACTTTATGTAGAAAACAACTTTCAGGTGCTGATGATATGCCTCCACCAAGGACATCGCTTGGGAAGACTTTGAGCCACAAGCTTCTTTTGCTTTCTTTTGATGTAATTATTTTGTACAAGCCTTGAGCTTTAACTGTATTGAGTTGAACTCATTTTGTTATACCCCAAGCATTGACTTGGAAAGATATAACTATTAGGGCATGAACTTACTTGATTCTCCTTTTATTTCAATTCATGTACATATGTCATATGCTATAGATTCAGGATCTAGAATTTATAAAAGTATACACGCATATATTATCTTTTGTATGATCAAGGAGTATAAATGGAAATGTTAAATACAATGTTAATGATCAATTCTACGTTATATTATGATGTGGGTTATTGTTATTATTTCGAGGCATTACAACTTGATATCAAAACTACTAGGCTTGAATACTTTGGGAAAGTAGGATGTGGTTTTTACCACAATAGGTTATCTCGCTAGATTATATTAGAAGTAGATCTGGCATGCTATGTAATAACATGTTTATATGATTAGATGAGTATGGAATTTAATTTCTAAGATATGGATTTGGTCTACGAGTTTCTGGAAGTTCTATTAGAAGAGCACTTAATCACTGCTATTCCTAACTAGAACTCTAGTAGTGTCGCGGGATAATCATTATCTAGAAAAGAAATTCGTTTGTGCTTATGCAATTAGGTACTTATATGGAGTGAATTACTTGTTGTCTACCACTATGAAAGCATAGACACGGCAGATTTCATGCCATGGCGGTATCTGACACGGGGACACGCCGGGGACACGTACGGGACACGCTGGGTGGCGTGTCCCTTTAATATAATTTTTTTTTTTTCAGTGGACACGACGAAGACACGGTGGATAGACACGGCGGAGACACACGTGTCCACCAAATCTGGACACGCGTTTCCAAATCTGGACACAAAGAGCAAAAAAGAAGAGTAACAAACCTGACTTCGAACCAGTCTAGACTTCTGTCCAGTCGACTCGCCGTCGACCTCCATGACTTCGACCACCGTAAGCCATCGACCTCGACCTCCATCCCCTTCGACTTCGACGATCCAGTCACCCTTCGACTTCAACGAGCTCTCTCTCTCTCTCTCTCTCACCTTCTCTCTCTCTCTCGCGATCACAATCGATCGCTTCTTCCTCTGTCTCTCTGTCGCGTCTTATCTTCTTTCATCTTCTGATTCATATATATATAATATATATAACTATTATTATTATATAATAATAATACTTTCAGTTATTATTATTATAATAGTTATAAAGATGACAACAACTTATTATTATATAATTATTATAATTATGTAATAACTATTATATTATTATATAACTATTATATTATATAACAGTTATTATACATATAATATATTTATAAGATAATATATAATACATATTATAAGATAATATATATTTATACATATTAATAAAGTATTAAAATAAAAATATTTATAAAAAAATTAAAAAATCTGCCGCGTCCCCTGCCGTGTCCGTGTCCGTGTCCCTATTTTTTAAAAATTGCTGTGTCCCGTGTCCGTGTCCGTGTCCATATGCGTGTCTGTGTTCGTGGCCGTGCTTCATAGGTCTACCATATTGAGACATTAGTGAATTAGCTTCGGCACATTTGTAAATGTGCT